GACTGCGCTGGACATCAGGGTGGGGCAAGCACAGGTTAAGCTCGCCAGAGCTTGCCGAAAGGGGGGAGCCGCCCGGCACTTGCCCTTGCCGGCCAGCAGCTGAGCCCCCAAACTGTCAGGGTGTCAGCACCCGCTTGCCAGGGGGCACCAAGAGGCCCCTTCCACGTCCATGTGCCTGCCCCTTCCCCCTTCGGGCCAAAGACTTGTGTTCTCAGAGCGCCCCTGCTTGCCACGGTGGCCGACCTCCATCGCCCTCCATGCTTGCCATGCTGGCCTGCAGCTGTTCTCCCTTTGGGTCTTCCTCCCCACTACCCCAGGCCAGTGCACAGCTGCAGTGGGGTCCCCGGAGGCAGGAGTGGGGGAGCCGAGGATCTCTCCCTATAGGAGCACAGCCGCCCTTTTGAGAGCGAAGCAGCCTTTGCCACCCGGAAGGCAGCCACAGGTCTACAGGAGCAGGCGCAGGAGCAGCAGCAGGAGCAGCAGCGAGACCAGGGAGTCCCCGGACACTGGGGGAGGAAGCCAGGCTAGCCGGCCATAGCCACAGCAGAGCAGGAAGGAGTGGGGAGCGAAAGAGGGGCAGGGCAGGGCCAGGCTAGCCATGGGGAGCAAAAGGGGCAGGAGAGCGGAGAGGCAGCTACAGCACAGTGCAGGATGGACAGGCGGAGCTGTCCCTCAGAAACATTTCCTCCGTGTACCATCCCCTGAGTATGTCGATCATACTCAGCAGGGCGTTCACCTGCGCAGCTCCTTCCTCAGCTCCTGCTTTATTGTTGAAAGCAAGGTACCGATTTCCAGCCATCTCAATTATGTCCTTCAGCTCTGCCCCTGCGCGGGCCATGAAGTCCCCGAGCCCCACCCCTTCCTCGGCTAATTTGTCTTTGTGAGTGAACGCAACGATCAGGAAATGCCTTCCTTCCTTCCAGAACAGCTTTTTAACCTGCTGAATAGTCTCTTTCGTTTCTGAGGTGACCTTGCCCAGCTTGATGACCAGGATGATCGCGTGGGGCCCAGGATGGAGAAAGTGGACACACCTGACAACGTCTTTCTGCACGAAACTCCTCCTGGTGTCAAAAAAGCCGGGAGTGTCGACAACGACAATTCGCCTTCCATTTCTTTCCCCTTGCTCCCTTTGAAGGTCGGGCGTTGTTGAGGAGGGCAAGCAGCTGGTTTTGAAGACCTTCCTCCCCAGGATGGTGTTTCCCGTGGCGCTTTTCCCCCAGCCTGTCCGGCCGATGACGAGGATCCTCACTTCCTCTCCTGTGTGGGACAAGCCAGGCAGGGCTGTGCTAAATCTCTGCTCCACGGGCAGGGGCCTGGAGAGCTCTTCCCAAACGCCCGGCCCAGGGGACTGGCCTCTGCCCTGGGGGGTGAGACCCGTTCTTCTGTGCTCGAGGGCAGCTCACAGGGGAAACCCAGGCCTCAGCCGTCCTGGCAAGCAGTGGCAGGAGGAATGGACAGGGTCGACGCAGGCCAGGGGAAAGCTGGCCCCATGGGCAGGGGCCTCGTGGGCTGGGAGGAACCCGGCTTGACGGCACCTGCTGCCAGTGCGGAGCTGGCATCCGAGCCACTGTGGCCAGGAGAGGCGGACTCTCCATCTGGGGCTCTGGGGCCTCATCTGAGGCCCCCCCTTTCTCCCCATTCGAGCTTTCCCAGGGCAGATCTGCTCTGGCTACAGCCCGAGGCAAGGAGGGGAGAGCGGGGGGCAACAGGGTCTGTGTTCGGGGGGCTCCTAAAACGGGGGCAGGGAGCGGCTTGCCCTTCAAGAGAAGGCTTTGTGCTCCACCCAGGGTGGCGTTTGAAGCGGAGAGAAGGAAAGGGAATGAGCAGACCTGCGGGTTCTCCTCCGTGAAGCAGATTCTCTGACATGCTCTCCTCCTCTGAAGCGGAAGGATGGCGTTCGATCAAGTTTTTCCTGGCTGAGGGATACCAAGAGCGGGAGGTGAAAGGCTGGGACCGTGAATCTCCCCAGCAAGAGCGGCCCTGCCCAGGCCCAGATCCTGCACACGTCCTCCGAGAGCTTTACCTTGGGGTGGACATTCAGCACACACCCGCCCCGTCTCCGGGGCTCAGCAGAACGGCTGGCAGTGCCCGTTTCCTGAAAGGCTGGTCTGGGCCTCCGCCCTGAGCCTAACCGACAGGGTGTCTCGCTTCATGGAGGCACTCAGCCACAGGGAGGCTGCTTCGGCCAGGCCAGGCGCAGCTTTGCCTTGCGGACTCCTGCCTGGGTGCAACTCCTCAGGGCCCCACGGCAGCCGCCCCCCCCCCCCCCCCGCCGAGCCAGGAGCACCAGGTGGGCCCAGCAGCGCCCCCCTCCTCTCTCCCCTTGGCTGCCCATCCAGGCTCAGGACCAGCCTGCTCTCTGTGCCAGCCTGAATACCAAGGGGCCGGTCCTCAGGGTAGCCAGCCGCTTCTGGGGTGCCTGCCCTCACTGTGCTGGGCCTGAGGATCTGCCCTATACCCTCTTCTGCTCTGCAGCCCCTCTTCTCTCCCAGCTCAGTCAGGGGCCCTGAATGGGGGGGGCTCCTGGATCCCGGAGCAAAGGAGGAGGCAAGGGAAGAGGAAGGCAGGGCAGGGCAGGGCAGAGCAGGGCAGGGCAGGGCAGGGCAGGGCAGGGC